TTTTGTACAGCATCCGATGCCGCCGAAGACGACCGCAACCCATAACTACACTTTTCGCTTGTTCCCCAGGATGAACGGCCCGCCGGTCGCCGGGAAGCCGGGACTAAATCCCCCCCCCTGCCCACAATCCCCACCCCTACCTCCGCACGCCCATCGGCACCGACACAAACAAGACACCGAACAAGGAACGGGTACGACCTGTTCGCTATCACCTGTTCAAATGCGCCTCGCTAGCTAACCTCTCACACCGACAAAAAGAAAATGAGCGAGGGTGCGAGGGAGCGCGGGAGTGCGGTAGGAGGGGGCAATTGGCAACCACAAACGAGCCACGGGCTAGCGCGGAAGCAACAAACACACACACGCAAAAAAAATAATCGCCACAGCACGAAGTAGAGGAGAGAGGAAGGGGCAACGCCCAAGAAACTTAACAATGCGGCAAAAACTAGGCGAACGGAAGGACTCGTCACACATGACACCGTGGCACAAGTGCAGAGAAGACAGCAACAACAGAAACAAAGAGGTAAACAGTATAATCAACGGGTCCTGCGGTTGAAGGAGGGCGGTGATAGCTACCAGCAAGGAGCCACGACGACCCATTTACTGCAAGGACAAACGGCGTACAGAACAGGAGATGTCAAACATGTTTCCCGCAGAACCAAGCAAAAGAGACAAGTTGTTACAGTTCGAGACATTCATTGTTCCGCAAGTACACCCCTACAGAGTATTCAGCTCCCCTGACAGACATCCTCCTCAATAAGGACTTTGCGTCCAAGCGCGCACGCAAGCTCCCTATTCAGTGGGGGGAAGCGGAGGAACACGCCTTCCAGCAACAAAGACAATGCCTGGCTTCCCCTACCGTGATAGCTTTTCCTGATCCTAACACACCTTTTGAGCTGCATTCTGATGCTAGCTCAGTGGGCGCAGATGCTACCCTGCTGCAGACCACCGACGGTACACCCAGGAGCATCGCTTTCGCTAGCCACAAGTTCTCTCGCACCGACGCTTGACGAGGACCCACGGAACGGGAGTACATGGGAGTATTGTGGGGCGTTGATCATCTCAAGCCGTACCTAGCTGGTAGATAGTTCAAAGTCGTGACGGATTGCTCGGCACTCACGTGGTTGTTTCGTAGTGGAGAACATTGTCCCAAGTTGCATTGGTGGGCTCTTCGCCTCATGGATTACGACATAGTATTAGAATAGAGGGCAGGAGTGCATCACGTGTTGCCAGATGCTCTGTCCCGTCTCCCAGGGGCCAGTAGCCCCTCCGTAGATATAGACGACTCTTTTCCTCACGATTTTACGTCCCCGTATTCCGCTACTTTCGTCGGCCCGCAAGGCCCTGTGAGTGCGCCTCGCGGACCTCACGACCGAGGAGGAATCCGAGCCAGTAAATACCGATAGTGAGATAGATCCCGCGGTCATGGCACCACTATTGGCTGACTTCCCGTTCGCTGCCTGTGCCTCGCTCGATGAACTTGGGCCACCACGTCGCTCAGGCAGAAGACGCATGCCCTCGGTACGCCTATAACCCCTAAACGACCCTCAGCTACCTACCGTGGCACAGGTCTTGTCATCGGGGCTACAACGCGCGTTCGTACCTGAGCCCATCGAGCTTCCCCCGGCTCATCCACCGGAGCCGGTGCAGCCCGAGTGCACGAGGTCCGCTGACGTGGAGGAAGTGCTTTCAGCAGAGGAGAGTCGCCCTTTCGGTCAGCGGTAGACACAAGTTCGACAACGATTCACAGGGCGCTACGAGTGCTGAAGAACCCGGACACGCTCGTTCGACGCCAGCAAGACGATGCCCTTTTGGGGCAGGTTTGGCGGGATCTAGGGGGAAGTGGTAAAGCAGGATCCAGTTTGGATCGTTAGGGAGTGCTACGGTTCGAGTTTGAGAAAGGTAAACTGATAGCGACCCCCAAAAGCATGGTGGCCGACATCCTAGCGTTGGTCCACACATTACATGGACACGCAGGAGTCGGAGCGACCTTGAAACTAATTCGGGATCACTTTCACTGGCCTAAGCTCGCACGAGATGTCCGTCAGTACGTTCTGTCATGTAGCTGCAGACGCCGCAAAAGGCCCACTAGTAGACGCGTACCGATGCTGCCAGGGAGACCATTGGAACCTTGGGATGAAGTTGAGATTGACCTACTCAAAATCGATACATCTTGTCTGGTAACAAGTACATTGTCCTGCTTGTGGTAGACCGTGCATCCAAATTTCCTTTTGGTTTCCCTCTTGCGACCATGGAAGCTATCGGAGTAGCTAGAGCGTTGTAGGAACTTTGTCTAACTTTCGGCGTCCCCAAAAACCATTCGTTGCGATGGCGGTAAAGAGTTTTGCGGAGAAGTAGTGACTCACCTGTGCCGGTGGTTACAGGCGGATATCACTTTTAGAGCAGCAGATCATGCCCGAGGGCAGGGCGCGGTAGAGAGGCTAGGAGGTTGGATGCAAGAGCTGTTGACAGAACTGTGCAAATACTGGAATGACCGTTGGGATGAGTACGTATCGCCGGCTATCTGGATTAAACATACGTTGCCAAACATTTCCGTTCACCCGCACATGACCCCGTTCGAACTGTTGTTCGGCCGTAAACCTCGTACCTCGCTAGACTCGTTGGTGCCGCTTTCAGAGGAGGGAAACCAAGATCCTTCAGGAGGTTTGGACAACTTCGTTGAACGGCGTAAGCAGAACCTTCGGGAAGTTAGGCTGGTGCTCGAGAAGCGCCACGACCTGCGGGTAGCAGCAAGGGCCAAGTCGAACGCCAATATTTCGAGGACCGCGGCGTCAGTAACGGTAGAGAAAGGCAACCTAGTTATGGTGCGCGAAGCCGACAGCAGTCGCCACCGAGACAAGCGGGGCCGGAAGCTGCAGCATGACCTCTACACCGGTCCTTGGACATTAGAAGAAGTTTTGCAGAGAGGCTTGGTGCAAGTGAAGATGCAAGGGAGAAAGCTGCGTTCGCGGAGAGTTTGCACGGCCGAGTTGAAACCCTTTCATCTTAGACCATCCCATTTGAGACATTCTATTGCCGAGGAATTCATGCAGTTCGCGTGGGGCCCTGATTTGGCAGCACCTGTCGAGCAGCCTGAACTATAGGGACGTTCGTCTCCCTCTCTGACTGCCGTTGTGTGCATTCACTTACCGGTGCCTTGGTGTGGGAGTACAAAGCTATATCGCAGACTGGTGTAGAGTCGGTGTGGTTGTCAGAACCTGAGCTTCTCCGTACGTTCACACGCTTGCAGTTGGATGGGTTCATTGCACTATGGCATCTGTAATATCCTGATTTGGCGTCTCAACTTACCCGGCGCGCTCTACCGCGTGCACCTTTTTCCGCCCGTGAAGCCCTGAGAATCTACCCAATAGGTTTTACTGTGGACAAGTGTTTAGTTACTGAGACCGATACTGGCGTGTGCGTTACAGTAACCAGAACTGGGAGGAGATGGCGCGTCAGGAGCTAGAACGTTGTTTTCAGTGAAGATCGTCTTCACCGCACCAGCTGTCGCTGTATCGTGCATGTTGGGGTGGGGGGACATCTATTCGTGTATCGTGCGTATTTTTTTGTGTCGTTGATGTCATGTTTATTGGGATGGTGGAGACTGTAGGTCCTTGGAAAACGCGGTGCTATCGGAGGATGAGGTTTCTTGAGGCTCAGTCGTGGTGAAGGGGTTCACTTGCGGAGTTTATTTCTTTGCTCCTATTCGATGGTTGATTGGTGTGTCCATTGTATGTAAACGTGCATGCGTGGACTTGGTAGGTCCTGTAGGACTTGGTGAGCAATCGCTGTTATGATTGTGATAACGCTTGTAGCCCATGGCGGTATGTCGGTCTATTCCACTGGCATCGAGATTGCTCTCCATGCCTTCACGAGAGGGTTTTGTCGAAAGTTTGTCCCTCAGAGAAAAGAGAGAGACGAGATGGCGGCGTGAAGTACCGGATTAGTTCCCTGTCGAGGCATATCGGTTGATGGAGAACAATGCGCTTCTACCATTCCCCTGGCTACAAGTACAGGCGACAAAATATCTCAGGCAGGAACCGCAGGAGGGGGTCCAACCCCCCCCTCCTATGTGACCCCGGTTGGATCGTTTAGCTGGTAGAAGTGGAGGATAGGGGCCAGAGAGGCAGACAACAGAGTCCAATGATGAGAAACAAAAAAAAACGTACAGCATGAGGCGCTACAAGGGTATTATTCACGACAAAAAATCACGGAACATTTCACGGAATCGTTTTTTCTTGAACATACAAATATGTGGAGGTCTTTTCCCCGAAAACGTGAAAAGGAGCCGGGATTTTTGGGGGCTTGCTACTTTTACGGATCTGTGTTATTAACAGAAGCATCGGACAAGCGCACCGCGGGCGCTGTAACATCACTGAGAACGCTAGAAAGACCTGCCAGGCTCACATCCAAGTCTGTTGTGGAGATGGACAAGCGGCAGAAGCGGCGTTCAGTCCGTTCTTGGTCCAAAACTAGACTTTGCGTACTGCTCTTGTACTGCTCTTGGCTCCAACTGCTGCTGTTTGTTGGTGCTGGGGATATTTTTTTAAGTCACACAGAGCAAACACGAAAACAATGTTGGTGCAATATTTTTGAAGAAGTACCTCGAACCAGTCCTCGTGAGGCGCCGAGAAAATAAGAAACATGAATTCTTCTTCACAACACTTGCCATGTCCTATTAACGGACGAGCCAAAGCACCCTTAAGAAGTATTTACTTCCTAACGCAACTCCCACGACAGCGATGGCATTTAACAGGCACCATATACGACGAGGAACGCGGCACGAAAGTCGATGATTCGTGCATCTTCTCTTTCAACGACACAATAACACGGATGAAACGATAAGAGACAAAGCCACCCTGGCCAAGACAACAAACACTAGACGGAGCACGCATGACTCGCATCTCTGGAAAATGTTGTCAACCGGAAAGAAAGGCGGGTGGAAAACACCCCGCTACACGGCTGCCTCTTGCACTAATCAGCCAAGAACTTCAAAGTGAAGGCGGGCACTGGCAGTCCATGGATCCCGCAAGAAATCACAAAACCGTCCCGGCACCAACACCACCAGAGGATTGCTGACGACAGGAAACATGAATCGACGGCACCGTTGTTCGAGGTTCGAACGAAAAAGAAACGCGCGTCCTAGCGTGTCCAACACCCTGTCTCGCTTACTGTGATGACAAGCTGCCGACCAACACAACAACAACAAGAAAGAAAACAATCCTTCCCTTCCGTCATGCCATCTATCCGCAAGCAAAGACAAGCTGGACAACGGAAGTTCCGGCAAAAACGCTTCGAATCAAGACTCCTATATTGTTCACTACGCAGCCCAGAGCGCATCACACCAGAGGTCAGCAATCAGCCAGTCCCACATCGGGTCCACACAGAGTCACGGCAAATTGACCACGAACTCACTCACACACACAGACCACCATCAGCCAGACCATGATCTCTCTTCCACTTACATATGGATCTTGTTGTGTGCTCCATCCGAAACCGCATCCGAGAAGACCGCAACCCACAAAGACAGAAAATAATCGCTTGTTCCCAGGGACGAACAGCTCGCCGTAGAGCTGCCCCGCCCCCGTCCGGCCATCGGTACCGATACGAACACAAAAAATCGAACAAGAAACGGATACATTTCTGTTCGCCATCACTTGTTCAAATGCCCCTCGCTGGCTAAGCTCTCATCAAGCACAAAAACACTGTAGAGGTGAGCGGGGGTACGGGACTGCGGGGCAATAGACTAGCACAAACGAGGCGAATGGCTAGCACGAAAGTAACAAACACACGCACACGCCGCCACACAAAGAAAAAAAATCGCCAGAGCACAAGGAAGAGGAGAGACGAAGGGGAGAGAGGAAAGGGCGTTGCCCAAGAAACAAAATAGGGCGGCCAAGCCCAGGCGAACGATATGACCCGTCACACAAGACACGGTGGCTCATGTGCAGCGAGACACGAACAACAGACACAACCAAATAATAGGTATGATCAACGGATGCTGAGCTCGACGGACAGTTGAAAAACTACCAGCCACCTAAAGAGCCGTACAAAGACCCATTCACCGCAAGGATAAACAGAGTACAGACCAGGAGACGTCAAATATACTTCCTGCAAGACCAAGCAAAAGGGAGAAGTTGTTCAACAGCGACAGGAACAAGAACTCTTTGAAACATCTTGCTCCAGAAGCAGAAAACGAGGGCATAACTGTCGACATCTTGCGGAGAATCAGATGCAAAGCCGGGCAACACATCGAAGGGAAGACAAATAGAAAACACAATTCCGACCATCACAGAGAGTCCCGGCGGGCGGGCCGAAAGAGCGTGTTCCTGTGTCATGGTTATAGCAACGTGGTGTGGGCTTGGCCGGAGCTGGAATACGTACGTTGGGTTCGAGGCACGCCTAGACAGCACCGAGCGCACGACCATGTTTAAAGTTTATATATCACAGAGGAGCCGCTGCTTGTGAGTCATGAGATCCTTCACCATTGGTCATCCAGACCACGCTGCCGTAAGTGGATGCTGATGCCCGAAACACGTTTTCGAAAGAGTGTGCGCAAACGGGGGGAGGAGACACGGATAGGGAAAAGCTCAAGATACCAGCTTGCTGACAGACCGTACAGAAAACTCGTTTGATCACCAGGCAAGGTGTTGCTTCCAAGTCAATGCTATGCATGCAGCGAATATATTCAGGACACCAATGAAAATAAAAACGCGGCTGCAGATTCCACAGGAGGAAGACAACAGGGTTTCAACGCAGACCCAAACTAGAAAAATCTTCTGGAGAGTCGCGACATTTCGATAGATTTTCCCCAAGCCACACCTGACGACAGAGAGTTTGGGAAAATACAGGAGAGGGAGCTACACTTGTACTATCCAGAAAGCGGAGTTCTAATTGAACCGCGAATGGGTGAAACACCTGTCTACACAACCACCCCGAACCGCGCGAGCACTGGGTAGGATTTGTGTTCTGTAATCTTGCCGTCAAAACTTGCCGCGGCAAACAACATCAGATAGATGCCGCCTAAGATTCCCGTGTGTACACATCAGACAGTGAGACATAACGCTACCGTTTGAACCGCAAAAGAAAAAAAACATAACAGCAACGGACCTGATTGTTCTTCCACACACTACAGGAAGCCCACGATCCTGCGGAACACGCCCTCCTCTGTCAGTGCCATCATCCAGGCCGACACACCACCGAACCCAGCGACGGTGCCTTCATGCACAGCTTCAATCCCGGCCCGAACGCCACTGCTCGCACCTGTTCCACCCCCACCTCCGTTCGTTCCATCCACCTCCACCTGCCCCGTGCTAGCACGGCGCCTTGGGCGTTGCTGCGGCTGCTCGGTAGCATCAGCTGCTGCTGGAGGGATCTCCACTGCCAGTCGCACCCTGTCTGGGTGAACACGGCCAAGGACAAGGAAGCCCCGGCGACGCCAGGCCCTGTCCTGCGGAGCACGGGCCAGAAGCCTGGAAAGACGCTCAAGGGGCGGGCGAACAGATGCGGGAGCTTCAGCGATCTGTTGCATCACCATGAAGACGACAGTCTCTCCCTCTGAGTCCATGGCGTTCTCGTCCCCACCCCAACTCAATAGCAGGCCCGCGGCGTCATGGTTGCCGAAGGAACACGCCGAAGACAACGAAGTGATTCGTTCATTCTCCTTTGAGTTGACCTTGGCTCCCAGTTGGAAGAGAGTCAGCCTGGCTGCACATGAGCCAAACATGGCCGCCCCATGGAGTGGGGTTCGTCCAGTCACACACTAACCTTCGATATCGGCTCCGGCTTCGAACAGCACTCGGATGGCAGCTGCTTTGTTCTCGCAGGCTGCAATTCGCAGCAACTTTCTGGAGTTGGGACCAGCGCCTTCAGTCAAAAGCACGTTCACGGTGGCAACGCGGTTCTTTCTCTCACCGCTAGAAGGAGAGGAATCTCTCGTTTGTTGTTGAGGCAATTCAGGTCAATCCCCTTCTCGACAACTGCCAACACCACCTCATCTAGACCGTGGCAAGCAGCGAGGTGGATGGGGAAATTGCCGTTCGATCCTGCCTGAATAGGGTTGGCTCCACTCAGCAACAGGTCCTTCGCTACTCTGTGTTCCCACATGTGACCCTTTAATCGCGATGTGCAGCGGGCCGTCATTCGTGGCGTCGCGGGCGTTCACATCCGCCCCGGCCATGATTAGTGCCTTTGCAGCAGCCTCCTTCCCGCCAGTAACCGTCAGATCCAGGGGTGTATGCCAGGTGTGGGGGGCTTTCGCTTTGATGTCTCCTCCTGCCCCTGCCGTGCTCAATATCGTAATGACATGCACGCTGCCGCCCTCAGCAGCCGCATGCAGCAGCGTCTTGCCATGACAACCCCGCCAGCCGGCACCGCCATTAGCCCCGGCTCACAGCAGCTTATCTACCAGATCACGGTTACCCGTGGCTGCCGCATGCTCCAGCGGAGCCCTCAGCCACTCGGCCCACTGCTCGGGTGTGGCCCAATCGCACACGAGTTTGAATATCGTGTCTCCGAGATCCTGCAGGATGCTAGAACGCTCTTTGTAACCCGGCATGACGTATGGTCTCGCTTCTGCGCTCAAGAATAGCCTCCGGGCGAGCTGGCTATCGTGCGAGATGTCCAATCAGCCACGTATCTCTGTGGCGTGCACCTAGGAAGCGAACAGTAGTGTGAAGTGGAAGCGAAGGGAACACTGCCCGAGAGCACACGCGCAAGGAAATTCGAAAGTTCTGAGAGCGGAGGGGGAGGGTTGGAGGGTTCACTGAATGCCCGATGGTCGAGTCACGGTGCCACTGACGCTGGCTCTCTTGCTCTGACATTCCCTCGCTGGTCACCTGCGTCGCTCACGAGCTCGCGAGACTACTTACTCATGATACTAAGCTCTGTTGTGAAGAAGAAGCCGGACCTTTGGTGTGGCTAGAGGAAACCACGATGGGGACTGCGGTGAGGAAGTTACACCGAGGCCGACCGATGGGGACATCAGCAATGCTCACAAGGAGCAGTTGAGACATGTTCTCGCTCGGCAGCAGGTGACACACAGATGTTGCGAAAGCAGGTATCCACCAACAAGAGACAAGCGGGACCAACAGGGAGTATGGGATACAGTAGTCCGCGACCGTTCAGCGATGCACCTTGCAACGATTAAATAGGCGAAATCCACTGTCCACCAGGGGCACGAATGGGAGTTTTTTTAAGACATTCCTCGAGAGTGAAAGCAAGACCTTTCTAACCAAAGCTTTAAGTTGCCCGGTGCCTCCTTTTATCGGTGGGTGAGATGCTTTTTCCGCGTTTATCTTAGCCCTTGCCACCGAAGCACAAAAACATACGCGGCGCAACTTCGCCGTTGAACCTTCCCAGGCTTGCTTGTGCTCCGTCGGTCAATTTTATTGTTTGTTTTCGGTGAACCGACAAGAAAAAAACGAGCAAAGAGAGTAATAGGCGAATATTGCTGTCGCACAAAAACCGTTTTCGGTGAAAAACGGCGATGAAAAAAAACGAAGGCTAAGAGCCCGTTTCGGCGATTTTCGGTGATGCCTTCAAACAATAGGTGGCTGTGTCTTTCCCGTGTCTTCTGCGGCGTCAGTCAAAATACATTGTTCGACGTATGCATATCTTCCGGGAAATCAGGGTTAGGGTTGCGTAGATATCCATATAGTAGACATGCATGGTATATCCATCTGCGGAACCCCTACAAAAATCGTTGGCAAGGCTTCGCCGAGGCGACCTCCAGGTTCGGCGACCTGCCTATGGAAAATAAGCGATTCCGATTCCTTGGTTTATGCGGTGACGAATTTGAAAATCGGCGAATTTCGGCGATCACCGACGGAGTACAAGCCTCAAAAACCTTCCTGCGCCATCCTCCCCTTCACGAAGCATCCAAACACTATATAAACTATACTTCTATCCCGGTGTACCCCGGCACCCCCCTTGTCGAGGAGTTCAAAGGAGGAGAGCCAGCCACACCATTCTTCATGAGGTAAGACAGATGAAGAAGATCGGGCCAAAAATGGTCCCAAAAGGCGGAGGCGTCGTATGTACAGCAGTAGACTAAAGGCTGCAGAGCCAGCAGTGTGGCGCTCGAAAAAGCTCTCAAATTCGAGACTCGGTTTGTCATTCGTCAGCAGTGGAAGCGAGTGATCCACATAGATTCTTTGCAGACAGAACAGAATCACGGACATACTTGCTTGTACTAAATGAAAACACCGAGATCCAATGATCGTGAAATGTCCGCAAAACACGAGCCGACACCACTGGCCGCCGTGTTGTATGCGCATCATGTTCAGCGCCTGAGATCGAAAGTGGTCGTACATTTTTTCCTACAACCATACGACGACACGACGACACGACGACACACCTGGGACATGAACTCTGTTTACCACGCTTCTGCCAGAGGTTGTCTACGATCCCCATCAATTGGCCCCTCAATTATCGAGGTGCCATTTGATAGGGGTTATTGAGAATAGACGGCTCAGTTGTGGAGGCAGCTTTGCACTTGCACCCAGGGCTGGAACTGTCGGCATCATCCAATCAGCAGGCGCCTTTCTTTTCGCCTATCACATACTCGGAGTACATATTTCGCAAAAACACCGAATTTTCTGTGGGTCCTCACGTGAGAATCTCAGACACAATCCGATACTCTCATTAACTTAGGGTGACACACAGACTGAGCAATATATTAACGACATCGATAGCTTACGTGCGACTACATCGAACGCCGGGCTTGGCCATTCGACGTCTCGGTTCACACCACGTTGGATCAACTGCTGCCGCGGCCGCAGCCGAACGCTTGGCATTGGCTGGCGTGAAACAAACGTGAATCCGGCGCGTCACACGGGTAGGTTCAATCGGACAGGTGAAACGCGCCCTCCTATACCAATCAGGGCCATAGATCTCGAAGGACGTGGATAGGGTCATGTTCGAGCCTGACGGCTCAGAACTCTTCAGCTCGCGGGGCAGCTTTACTGTGCAGAGGTCATTGTACTCCAGTCTCTGATGTGACACGATTGCGGAAACGAAACGCTGTTCTCCATCATGTGCATATATATCCGATGGTGTGTTGCTCACGATTCTCATAGATGGCGCGGCAAACGGAACTGAATGCTGGTGGTTGCGGCGGTGCTGTCTCCTTCCCCGTTCCGTGTCCTAGCGCCGTGTCTGCTGGTTCACCGCCCACTTTGTCGGCCAACGAGAGGGGGCCAAGTTCTCGCCAAAGAATTACCGCGGGGCGAGAGGCTGGGAAATAATAAAGAGGACGAGATCGGTCTGTTAACTACCGTCGCACCCGAATCAGCTTTGAGAAAAGCGAAACAAATGACGTATTGACGTCATCACAATATTGATTGGTGTAATATTTTTGAATGGAGAAGTGCATCTCGAACCAGCCCTCTTGAGGCGCCACGAAAACAACAAACATGATTCTTCCCAACACTTGCCATATCCTATCAACAGACCAGCTGCAGCAACCTCAACATCCATGTACTTGCACAATGTACTTGCACAAAACAGTAATATCCACGACAGGCATTTGACATTAACGGGCGCGACACCATGGTCGCGGACGGAAATCGATGGCGCATGCATCGCTTCAATTAACGGCACAACAAGACACACAGACGGACTTGGAAGTGTCTGGCAACGACAAGACACACCAAACGGAGCGCTCATGTCTCCGATCGCTGGACAATGTTTTCAACCGGAAAAGAAAGTAGGCTGGAAAACACCCCGCTATGCTACTGCCTGTAGGGCGCCTCTGGCGAACATCGTTCAAAATGAAGGCGAGCAATGGCTGTTCATGCACCTCGCAATAAGCGATGAAGCAATCCCAGCACCAACACCACCAAAGTGGTTCAGACGACGAAAACATGGAAAGACGACAGTCCTGATGGTCGAGATTTGAGCGAAAAATCACCGCGCGTCCTGGCGTATTCAACACCCTGCCCTGCTTACTGGGCTGACAAGCTGCCAAATCGACTCTGGGGGAAGCAAGCGGGTATTTCTTCCCTTTGGCCACGCCATCTATCCGCAAACAGAGACAACCTGAACGAAGGTAACGCCGGCAAAAACGCTTTGAAACAAGACTCTACCCGACATTGCGCGATACACGGCTCAGAGTGCATCACACTAGAGGCCAGTAGTCAGCCAGCCTCGCATTGGGTCCACACGGAGTCACGGCAAACTGGGCATGAACCACTTATTCACACACTTCAACACGAGCCTGACCATGCTCTTTCCCCACCTTACGAATGCACACTGTTGTGTATTGCATCCGATGCCGCCGAAGAAGACCGCAACCCACAACTACAGATGATCGTTTATTCCTAGGGACGAAAAATTCGCCGGGAACCCGGACCCAATCCCACCCCCCCGTCCGCCCATCGGCACCGACACAAACACGAAAGCAAGAGACGGATACCATATGTTCGCAATCACTTGCTCAAATGCGCCTCGCTGGCTAACCTCTCATCACGCACAACAAAACAATAAGTGAGGGTTGGCGGGAGTGCGGGACTGGAGGGCAACAGACTAGCACGCATGAGGCGACGGGCTAGCACAGAAGCAACAAGCACACACACACGCCTTACAGGAAAAAACAATCGACAGAACACAGAGGAGGGGAGAGAGGATGGGGCGTTGCCCAAGAAACATGACGGCCAAAACTAGGGAACAGAATGACCCGTCACACAACACACGATTGCACAAGTGCAGCGAGCAACAACAGAAGAACCTAACGAATTGGTACGATCAACGGATACGCGTTTCAAGGAGAATCGAAAAGCTACCAGCCACCTACAGAGTCACGAAGACCCATTCACTGCAAGGACTAAACGAGTGAACCCCAGGAGACGTCAAACATATTACCCGCAAGACCAAGCAAAAGAGGGAAGTTTTCCAACAGCGAGTGGAACACGAAGTCTCGAAAAATGTTTGCTCCAGGAGCAGACGAAGAGGGTATAACTGTCTACATCTTGCGGAGAAAAAATGCAAAGCTGGGCAACACATCGAAGAGTAAACAGCATGAAAAACAATCCCCAGAATCACAGAGGCCGACCAGGTGGTGGGGCTAAAAGATCATATTCATGTCGCGTGGGAATAGCAAACGGGGTGCGGGCTTGGCCAGGGTTGGGATACATACGTTGGGCTCGATGCACGCCTAATAGCAAGCGCCGAGCGCATAGAAAGCCCCGAGCGCACGACTACGTTGCAATATTCGTGAGAAGGGAGGATCTTCAGCTTGCGAGTCTCTAGATGCTTCACCATTGGTCATCCAGCCCCACGCCGCCACGCGTGGATGCTGATTGATGACCGGAATATTCGGAAGAGCGCGCGTAAACAGGGGGGGGGGTTGGACGGACAACGACAGGGAAACACCAAGGTATCAACTTGCTGACAGATGGTGCTAAACCTCCGTTCGACAAACAGGCATGTGTTGCCATTCATTCTACGCTAAGGATACAGCAAATTCAGTTCACCCATCAAACAAACGAAACACGGCTGCAAATTTCATAGGAACAAGACAACAAAGTTTGGACGCCGACGCAAGCAAGAAACATTATTCTGGAGATTTCGCGACATTGGATAGATTATTTCCAGTCAACAACTGATAGCCAAGGGTTTGGGGTAAAGACAGATGAGGGGGCGTATGTATACATGTTCCAATCCTACTTTTTTTGGTGGTTTTGTTCTCTCTGCCGGGACAGCGTTCCATATCACGCTTTCTTGTGCACGGCTTGCAGATGACCGGTCGGCACACTACCCGTTACGTGTGGGGCTGGCCAGACATCGGTGGTGCGCATGATGGCCACTCAAACGTCGCTGGGACTGGTTCTATTCCAGGGGTCGCGAATCCGAACCAAAAAAGCCTTCAGATATACATGAAAACTGAACAGGAACACTTTCTAGCGGGGTGTTTTACCCTTTCGCGGTCTGTTGTTTGGTTGCTCGTGTCCTTCCATGATGAGTTTTGCTCGTTGTTCGTCTGTTGAGAAATACAAAATATTGAAAGACCAGCAGGGCGCTGGAGCTCAACACAGGTACATTGTTACTGAGTCAAGGAGAACGATCCCCCCACCAACATTCAACAGCATTGGCATCCGTTGGCATTCGAAACGTTTTGGTCGCAACGGAATGTTTTTTCCTTCAACCAGGAAACTATAGCACAGCAGTTTTCTGTTTGGAGCAGTCCCACGTGTACCGCAAACACAGACGTAAACAGTGCTTTTTCATGGCCGCAAAGGGGACTAGGCTCTTGATGTTGCTCATGGGAACACACCACGCGATACAAAAGCCCTCTCGTACAACTCTCGCAGCAGTCGTTCAAATTTCAATTCCGAAAAATCGAAAAATCCAAATTGTCGTAGCAGTCTACGTCTGCGACCATTGTTCGGCACGTTGAGCGCCTCTTCGATGCATTGTTGGTGTTTGCGGGAAGAAGTTCCCCGTCCATGGGCAACACAATCACACAAGAGTAAGTGATCAAACGCAGCGGATTATAGCTGTAGGACCTGCAGCAAAGACCCCTCTAGCCTAAGAAGTATACCCCACACATGATGCAACTTCCAGGCAAATTCTGCAGGTTGCTCGCCAAACCGGCACTACCGAACGTCATGACGTTGGGATGCAACGATGCGACCGCGATGACATCGGCCATGTCCTCCTGCGTCGCCCCCGGGAGGCAAGTCACCTACCTCCCGTAGGGTAGCCTGGTATGCATATGTTCACGTCGATTTTTTTTGTGGTTACCACGTACGTTCTTTTTCTCTGATGGGAGAGCGTTTGTTCGCATACTTTCTTCTGCATGGTACTCAGAAGACTCGTCGGTATATTACCCGCTATGTGTGGGCCTCGCCAGACATCGGTGGTGCGTGTACTGGCCGCCTAAAGTCGTTGGGACTGGCTCTATTTTCAGGGGTCGCGATTCCGTACCAAAAAAGCCCACGGGAAAACCGGAACCAAATTTCTAGGCGAGCGGCGTTTTTTTTTTTCGCACCAGACATCATTCTTACACCAGCACTTAGTTGTAGACGCCCACACAGCAACACGGTGCAAACAAAAGGAAACGTAAAGGTGTGGTAGAGCTGCAGTATAGCGAGACGCGCTGCACGGCTGTCCCACAAAGGTGATGTGTACAGTAGTGCAAAATAGTTGACAACACCTCTAACAAAGTATGGACAGTATTGTTCCGGTAGGTCGTATTTCTCGCAGTTCTTACAAATCACGCTCATCCCCCGTTGTGAAAGCCCAAACAATTAACACGGGGCAAACACAACACGGCGCAAATACACGATGCAGTGGTGGCGTACATAGCACAGCAGCGATGCATAGCTAAATCCGGCTATCGCAGGCCACACAGGTGATGTGAACAGTACAACGGATTTATCAAAACGCAGAACAGTGCTTGGCGGGATATTTATTACCTGGGTTTCGACCCTCGGCAAAGACATGTTTGTCTGGACATATTTTGCCTTTTCTTTGACTGGACCTTTGTATCTAATGTAAAACACTTCAACTTTATCGCTCACTGTTGCGGTCGATTATTATGGCAACAAGAGCGATATTTGCACGTACATGAACATGGTTTACGCGATTCTTTGTAGCGTTCTGGGATAGAGAATAGACAGCACATATTATGCATGCATTGCCCCGAGCAGTAACAGGTTTGTTTCAGTTTGCGCGAAATGTAGTGATTGATTGTCTGCCTTTTCAAAAAAACCACAGCACAGCGGTTAGTATAATAGTTGAATGTTATTAGGCATTTTCGCCTTGAGTCACCCCCGGGGTGGCATGTGCCTACATCCCGGAACGGGGGACCTTGTACATTAGGACGACCCAGAAAGCGGAGTTCAAACTGAACCGCGAATGGTTGAAGACCTGTTCACACAACCCGCTCAAATCGCGCGAGTACTTGGTTGGATTTATGTGCTGAACTCTTGCCTAACAGCACTTGCCGCGGCAAACAAACATCAGATAGATGCCGCCTAAAGGTCGGACGCTTGTCCTGTGTTCGTCATGACAACAATACAGGTAGGTGCCTGAGCGTACACACAAGAGGTCGAAATTATTCGCACACCGCTTCAAAAACAGAAACTACAAACACCTCACAGGCAACGTAACTGACCTTCAACGCACTACAGGAACCCCACGATCCTGCGGAACACTTCCTCCTCTGCCAGTGCCGTCATCCAGGCCGACACACCATCGAACCCACCGACGGTGCCTTCACGCACAACTTCGATTCCGGCTCGTGCGCCATTCCTCTCACCTGCTCTACCACCGCCTCGATGTGTCCCATCCACCTCCACCTCGACCTTCATCTGCCCTGTCCTAGCACGGCTCCTCGGGCGTTGCTGCGGCTGCTCGGTAGCCTCAGCTGCTCTTGCAGGGATCTCCACTGCCAGCCGCACCCTGTTTGGGAGGGCACGGCGAAGGACCACGAAGCCCCGGCGACGCCAGGCCCTGTCCTGCGGAGCAGGTACCAGTAGCTCGGAAACATGCTCAAGGCGCGGGAGAGAAGCTGCGCGAGTTTCAGCCATGCATCGTATCACGACGGAAATGGCGGCCTTTCCCTTTGGGCCTACGGCTGTCTCGTCCGCACCCCATCTCAAGAACAGGTCCACGACATCGGGATGGCGGCGCGCGAAGTGTAACGGGGTTTGCCTCTATTTTCCTTCGAGTTGACGTTGGCTCCCAGTTGCAAAAGAGTCAGCATGGCTGCACATGAGCCAAAGGCTGCTGTGGCATGGAGTGGGGTTGATTCCCTGGAAGTCCGACGTTCGATATCGGCTCCGGCTTCCAACAGCGCTCGGATGGAGGCCGCTTTGTTCTCGCGCGTTGCCATTAGCAGCAAATTGAGGGAGTTGGGATCAGCGCCTTCAGCCAGAAGCACTTTCACGGTGGAAACGTGGTTCTCTCTCACCGCCACATAGAGGGGAGTACGTCGTTCGATGTTGACGCAATTCAGGTCAACCCTCTTCTGGACCAATACCAACGCCACCTCATCAAAACCATAGCAAGCAGGGAGGTGGATGGGGAAATTGCCGTTCGATCCCGCCTGAAATGGGATTGGCTCCGCTCAGCAACAGGTCCTTCGCGATTCGCACATGACCCCCTGTGATCGTGAGGTGCAGCAGGCCGTCATTCTTGACATCGAGCACGTTCATATCCGCCCCAGCCATGATTAGCGCCTCTGCGGCAGCCTCATTCCCGCCGACAACCGCCAGATCCAGAGGTGTATGTCCGGTGTCGAGGGTTTTCGCTTTCATGTCTCCTCCTGCCCCTGCCCTGCGCAACCTGTGATGACATGCACGTTGCCGCCCTCAGCAGCCGCATGCAGCAGCGTCTTGCCATGACAACCCCGCCAGCCGGCACCGCCGTTGACCCGGCTCCCAGCAGCTTATCTACCAGATCGCGGTTACCGGTTCCTGCCGCATGCTCCAGTGGAGCTCTCAGCCACTCGGCCCACTGCTCGGGTGTGGCCAAACAGTTTGAATATCGTGTCTCCTCGATCATGCAGGATGCTCGCACGCTCCTCGTAACCCGGCATGATAGATGATGTGCGTCCCGCTTCTGAGCTCAAGAAAGTCCTTTGGGCGAACTGGCTATCGTGGGAGATGTCGATCCAGCCACTATCTCTGTGGTGTGCACCCAGGAAGCGAAGTATGTATGTATAGGATGAGTGGAACATTGTGACAACAAGGGAACATAAAAGTTCGTCGGAAGGGCGGTAGGTGCCCGAATCGTCGATTCACGGAGCCCTTGACACTGGCTCTCTGACAGTCCCTGCTCCCTCGCGCGCGAGACTTATGTACACTCAAGCAATCAAGCTATTCTACTACTTAGCTCTGTTGTGAAGAAGAAGCCAGACCTTTGGTGGGACTAGAGGAAACAATGATGAGCAAAGAAGTGAGACCCGGGCGGACCGATGAGGACATCAACAACGCTCACAAGGAGTGTTGGGATGTTCTTGCTCGGCGGCAGGCTCACAGATCACAGGCAGGCGTCGCGGCTTAGGCGAGACCAGCGAGACCAGCGGAGAGTACGGGATGCAACTGTCCGCGACTGTTCAGTGATCCCGCTTGCAAAGACTGAATAGGCGGAACCCACCAGTCCATGTATAAGGTGTGTGTAATGTGAATTGAGTTCGATCAAGTGTGCGGCCATGCGAACACCGCATGTAGACTAGCCACATCTATAATATCTGGTCTCATTCGCGGTGTTGGATAAACCGGGTAGGCCGAAGCTTGTAGGTTTGTGGAGAAAGGCAGCTCGGCCAGTGAGGGCCGAGATGGGAAAGTCTTGTATTAGAGGGAAGAGGGAAGGGCAGAGACCACTCGAGGCCGAGCAGCCGAAGAGTGCGTCACCACACCTATCCGTCACGCAATTCAGATCACTCATCGAATCTCCGAAGAAACCAAGCAGAAACTCCCTGTTCCTCCGCGATCTACCAACTGCAATCTCCGTAGATCCATGTCCCATACTCAACCACATTACTATGCTACGAGTATATCTAACAG